CATACCAAAAAAATATATGAAAATGGGGACTTTTGAGGCACAACATAATCATAAAAACATGATTTATTTTGTATCAAAATTCAATATGTAAAACAAGATTCTATTTCACAACAACAGTACTAAAGCATGAAAAAAATGAAAAGTTTACAATATCAAGGAGCAGCAAATCTCTTTCCAAGTGATCCAAATTCTTTGTAAACTTTAGGTTCATTCTTATCGGCTTGGGCTCAACGTGTTTCATTGACCTTATCCACAAGGAGAGGATGCAAGCCACATAATGTACCCATAAATATATACATAAATCAAGACCTCTAAATAAAAATAAAATTACCTCCAAAAATGGGTGGCTTCAAATATGCTAAGTGAATGATATAGAGACCCTCTACTCGTAGATTTATACCGGCCTCTATTCATATATTCCTCATACAGCCAAACAATTTCCTCCTAAATGGTGAATATATCATTTAAAACCAACCAATATGTTAATGGAGTATGGGGGCATGGAGCAGAGCATGATCCCCTCCCTTCGGAGACTGGGCCTCAGGGCAGTATTCCAACATGATAACGACCCCAAACACACCTCCAAGACGACCACTGCCTTGCTGAAGAAGCTGAGAGTAAAGGTGATGGACTGGCCAAGCATGTCTCCAGACCTAAACCCTATTGAGCATCTGTGGGGCATCCTCAAACGGAAGGTGGAGGAGTGCAAGGTCCCTAACATCCACCAGCTCCATTATGAGTGGAAAAGGACTCTAGTGGCAACCTGTGAAGCTCTGGTGAACTCCATACCCAAGAGGGTTAAGGCAGTGCTGGAAAATAATGGTGGCCACACAAAATATTGACACTTTGGGCCCAATTTGGACATTTTTACTTAGGGGTGTACTACTCACTTTTGTTGCCAGCGGTTTAGACATTAATGGCTGTGTGTTGAGTTATTTTGAGGGGACAGCAAATTTACATGTTATACAAGCTGTACACTGACTACGTCACATTGTAGCAAAGTGTCATTTCTTCAGTGTTGTCACATGAAAAGATAGAATAAAATATTTACAAAAAATGTGAGGGGTGGACTCACTTCTGGGAGATACTATATAATTCGAAGTGTTCTGTCCGTGCCGTGTGTTGCCCCGTGGTCTGTGTGCAGCTTCACTTGCATCTAAACCCTCCTATCTTCCAATAAGTCAGAATGTAAGAATAAAGCCTTGAAAGTTCATTGAATAAACTGAAGGGGACACAGAGATGCACAAAGTAAAAACAATTAATATGTACAGCAATAGAACTCTCTGAGCTCATGATAGATGTAGCAATGTGGATGTGGGTGGCTGAAAGTCCAAATCTTACCAGAAAATGCTGCAAGAAAGGGAAAGATGGATGATTTTCTCCATGTGTTCCAAGATGGTGACTGGGTTTACCAGGATGCTCCTATTTTCCTGTCCTGTACCCTGAGAGACCATTTCTATCCACCAACTAGCAAACAGAGTATGCAATAATTTTGTGTCCTGCATCCTCATGTAGCACTAGCCCTGCAGGGACCTCTGATATTAACTGGTAAATCCCTACCAGGCACAGAGGCTGCCCGTAAATATGTGCATGACAGAAAAAATTGTTTTATTTTGGATTCGATCATTAAAGTGTTACTAAACCCACAACAGTAAAATCAGTCTATATGGAGTAAATCATGCTTGTTATACTCACTGTGGAACTTAAGGGGTTAATTCTCTGCATTGTGTAAAAAGGATGTTTAATCCTGTCTTCTCTGATCCTCCCCTTCTTACAGTGTCCCCCTCTTATCTCCTAATAACACATATCATGTAGAGTCACTCTGCACATGCTCAGTTTGGTTTGCATTCCTAGAGAGGTTTTTTTTCTTGGGAGAGTGCCTGTGATCAGCACAGGGCCAATCAGCACTGTCCACAGAGGTCAGGGGTTCTGCAACCTCCTAGAGCAGAATGAAAGCTCCTCCTACAAGCTTTACCACAGCACTCTGCTTGACTCTGATAGAAGTCACAAGACTGCTCTAACTGCTGATGAGAAAAGGTATTTAGCAGTTTATATTTACTAAAAAAAATTGCACTTCCATGTTCTGTGTACTGTGGGAGACCAGATATAGTGAGTGGGGAGATGCAGGGTCCGGGGAGACCAGATATAGTGACCAGATATAGTGAATGCAGGGTCCGGGGAGACCGGATATAGTGAATGCAGGGTCCGGGGAGACCGGGAGACCGGATATAGTGAATGCAGGGTCCGGGGAGACCAGATATAGTGAATGCAGGGTCCTGGGTTTAGTAACACTTTAAGTTATTAATTTTGTTTCTTCATATTTGTTATGTTAAAATGATTAATTTCCAGAATTCGTTTTGTATATTTGAATTTGTTTTGTAAAATTGGATTTAGTAGTTATTTTCAAATCCATTTGAATTTGAATTTCGGAAGATGGCTATATTCGTTCTGTTATTCTGTTCTATTCTATTATGTTTTATTTTATTCTATTCCAATATAGTCTATTGCAATGTTTTCTATTCTATTCTGTTGTATTATATTTTATTATTTTCTATTCTATTTTATTTTCTTTATTTTGTTCTATTTTTTTCAGTTCTATTTTAATCTATTCTATTCTGTTTTATTCTATCCTATTCTGTTTTATGCTGTCCTATTCTATTCTATTCAGTTCTATTCTTTTCTATTCTGTTTTATTTTATTCTATTCTATTTTTTCCTATCCAATTCTATTCTACTGATCATGCATATGCATTTTTGCTGCTTTTTTTCCAACAGATCAGTATGAAAGCAGCCTAACTAGGAATCATCATCTTATCTCACTTTTACACCTTTCTGTATTTATTTAAATATGTTTCCATTGTTTCCATTTCGGAATCAAATTCATTTTCCAATTGGAATTAATTTTCTAATTTTTTCTAATTTTCTAATTCATTTTGAAATTAGAATTTGGATAATTTGTTTTTTCATGACAATATTTTGTGATGTTATCATTTATTTTGGATTCATTGAAATTCGTTACTATTGTGATTCGGAAATTCCAATACATTCAAATAACAAAAATGTTGTCTGAATTTAGATTCATAACAAAACAAATCATACATGTCTAGCTGCCTGTCCTCCCAAGCACCAGTCCATTTACACCAGCTCCAATATACCGTCTAGGGGATGTCATTTTGGTGTTTTATTGCTTGGAGAACTTCAACAGGAGAAAGGTGTTTGGACATGGGTTACTCCAAAACGATCAGCACATGGTAGTTAGAGGACAATCTTCCCCTTAAGCAGATGTGAACATTGGACAGTCTAAGGGCTTACAGCTGAATACCATGGGATGAGTCCTTTTGGCATCTGGTTACCTTGCACCAATGCCAGTACCCGGTTTAGATTCCAGTCCACTATCCAGTCACAAGGATCAATTTAAGGTCACTACTCACAAGTCCCCAGGACAGCCACCACCTTTTAGCTTCCTCTGGACATGGTCCAGTGCATGAAGCAGAATCTCTCAGGACCAGATACCTTGTGGTGTGGTTCTGCAATCAGCACCAAAGTCCAGCACTGGCACTGCTAAACCCTCAAGAGCAGCTGTTCAGTTCATGGCAGCTTGAGGGCAGCTTAAGGGCAGCAGCCCCTCTGGCTCTGGAACCCTCCTGGGGAGAAGGAACCTTGTTCTCCCATGTCTCAAACTATCTCCATTCCAGCCCCCTACTGGACACTCCTCTCCAAGAATTGGCTGGAACCTGATAAATATTCAGTCTGGTTGTTTTGCATCTCCCACCCTAAGTTCTAATAGCTTCCTTCATAGGTGGGGGAAGCAATCAAACTCCCAGCCTGTGAGACCCTGAACAGGCAAAAACAAACAATTACTGCTCACTTTAATACAGAAGGAGCCAATAACTAAATTTACCTAGCATCATACGCTAGGAGGGTGCTGCTTCCTTTTTGGATTCTTCATAGTAATCTGCTTAATTTGGTGACAGGTAGTTTATTTAAAAAGATTATCTTGACTTGCCAGCTGTTCTGGTGGTGGGGAAGGTGACCTTTTCAGGGTGCTAAAGAAATGGTAGGAGACAAAACACTAGTAGTACCCAGGGACGTCCCTAGGGTTGGTGTCACCCGGTGCGATAACACTTGGTGACACCTCCTCCGATGATTCCCGCAGAATGGATCGGATCTGCGGATTGAGCATAATGGATCAGACTCTGATCCATTATGCTCCCCAATCTGCAGATCCGATCCATCCTACGGAGATCGTCAGCTTTCTTTACAACTTACCTTTTCGTGGAGCGGGTCCGGTGTCACCCCGTATAGGTTGCATCACGATGATCCCCGCAGGATGGTTCGGATCTGCGGATTGAGTATAATGGATCGGAGCCCGATCCATTATGCTCCCCAATCCGCATATCCTATCTACCCTGCGGGGATCGTCAGCATGCAACCTATACGGGGTGACACCGTACCCGCTCCACGAAAAGGTAAGTTGTAAAGAAAGCCGACGATCCCTGCAGGATGGATCGGATCTGCAGATTGGGGAGCATAATGGATCAGAGTCTGATCCGTTATGCTTAATCCGCAGATCAGATCCATCCTGCGGGGATCGTCGGCTTGCTTTACAATTTACCGTTTCGTGGAGCGGGTCCGGTGTCACCCCGTGCGGTAGGTGTCACCTGGTGCGGCGCGCACCCCCCGCACCTGCCTCAGGACGCCACTGGTACTACCCACTGCAACTACACTGGAGGTATCTATTGTTGTTGTTAAGCATATATAAAGGACAGGGCTGTATTGTGTGGCAGAGCTGTGTATATCTCTGAACTGGATGGATAGAAATACAAATCCTTTGTCAGATAACATCAATCTCATGTTTATTTCATCTGAGTATGTTTAGCTGTTTGCCTGGAGTTCAGCTTTAGTGGTCATGCTTACAAATAATGTGTATTGTCAATTTCTGCCAGCTTTGGAATCCAGCATGACGGACAAGGAAATGATTGTGAATTCACCGGAGGACATCCATATATTATGTCCCGGCAGTTGCAGTATGACACATCACCATTGATATGGTCGCCCTGCAGTAAGGAATACATCACACGGTTTTTAGAGTGAGTGACTTCTATTGTATTTTGCTGATGTTACCTGCCCTTTCATAACAAGCATCAAAACAGACACTATTCTATTCTGACTATTCTCAGCATTGGTGTCTGCTATCTGGAGACTACAGACTACATCCCCCAAGTAATACAGATGGGAAGAGTGGGAGGTTTTCTGAAGTCCTAAAATAATTCCTTGTCCTAGGGTGCCAATGCTGCTTCTTCTACAATTCAATGAATGACTGTTGTCACCCTAGGACAACAAGAATATTACTGGTGGGATCACCAGGTGAAAATATGGAACTTAATACAGCCACCACATCTAAGCACTAGTAAACTGCAATATATTACATTTTTGTTCTTGGATTTAGATTTGTAAACCTTTTTGCTGCCAGTGGAATGTGCCATATGTCAGTAGCAGCAGGAGTTGCAGGGCCGTGGATAAGGGGGTACCACCAGTCCTCCTGTACGGGGCCCAGGCCTGCAGGGGGGCTCGGGCAGCTTGGTTAATTGGATGTGGGCAGGAAGGGTGAACGGGGCAATTACTGGAACCAATCCCCTGTATGGCTCTCCCTGCAGCAGCTGAAAGCTGGGTTCTTCTCCTCCCCCCGGTTGGCTTTCAGCTGCTGCAGAGAGAAACATACAGGGGATTGGTTCCAGTAATTTACCAATCCCTGTCTTCCTGAATGAACACAATGAGTTTTCAGTACCAATCACTCACTGTGTCCATTCATAGCTGAAGCATAGTAAACTAAACATAGTCAACTTTTTTTTTGTGATGATGGGGGCCTTGTTAGGTTGGCTGTATGGGGCCTTGTGGTTTGGGGGGGGGCCTGTCAGGTTGGCTGTAAGGGGCCCTGTGGTTTCTAACAACAGCCCTGAAGAGTTGTATAAATCTGACAGGTATCAGATGTAAGCAATTAGGTGGCTGCACAGCATCCCACAAGCGCCCCCAGTACATTTCCCTCCCCCCTCGCATGCTTCCCATGCTCCCCGCTCACATCATCAAATCCGGGACCAGCATGGCAGGTGACGCTGGTTACAGTAGATGGAGATTAGCGAAAGTCTGTTTGCTGATCTCCTTTCCTACTAAGAACCTGGAACGACGTGTAAAACATAACTTCTGGGTATGGCTGTCACTTTGGATCTGCACCCCACTAGCTTCTATAGAGGACAGGTGAGACATCAAGGGTTTAAAAGAACCCTGATGTCCAATTAAAGAGTATCTGTCACCAAAAAAGTTTCTTGAGCTCCCCACCCCCACATACGCGCACATTTGAATGTAAACACATGTCAGAGGCGCCTATACAGAAGCATTGATTGTGCTACTTGTGTTGCATAACGCTTTACACGCCAAAGTGAGAGAAAACAATTCTAGATCCATTATTCATTGTTAACTCTAAAGTGATGAACGGTAGGGCCTTTTAAGCAACGTCTCTGGAAAATCAAGAATACCGAAGTTTTTCTATTTCATAGGCGCACATAATTTTAAGGCTTGTATGTTGGGTCTTTTATTACTCAGCACAACCTCATATTTTATAGTCACAATTCCGTATTTGGCAATTTTTGGCAATTGGAGTATAACCAACTTTTGATTTACTGACTATCAGCAGATCAGGGCAACCAACTAACAACTGAACTGCTTTATTGTTTCCACGAAACTGTTGGTGGCTGCCTTGAACCTTTTGGTCATTTTTGCATTGAAAAGCAGACCGATAGTGGTTGAAGTAGCCAACAACTTCCTGTTTTATGGCCAGGATGTAGTACCCTTTATAAAAGGAACACCATAGGAAGGTTGGGGGGTCTTCATAAAGGGCAGGCACATTAAAAAGTTAGGTGTGCCCAGTAAAAGTGTGTGGGGGTGCACTGTTAAGGAAGTAAGGCCTCTATCTAAGTGTGCATTGGGGCTCATAGGCTTGTAGCTACATCAATGACCTCGTGGTCGCTATATGCTTTCCTGGAAAACCCAAATTATTATGACGTTCTAAAAAATCGTTTGCCTACTGCTTGTCTTACGTTACACTGGTTTTACAATTAATGCAACCAATTCCAATCACACAACAAAACATGGTTTTTGCCTTGAACTTTAAAATATCCACCCTTGCTCCCATGTTTTATAACCTTTTATTTCTGGTCTACAGTCGAGGTTGGGGGTCATGTCTGGATGACTTGCCAGCGAAGAAAGATTTCAAACATCCTCTGATTGCTCCAGGAGTCTTGTATGATGTCAATCACCAGTGCCAGCTGCAGTATGGACCCAATGCCACTTTCTGTGAACTAGTTGAAGTAAGTTTGTATTTTAGATTCCTATTGTCTACAGCAGTGATATATTTCAATTATTCCAGCAGCGTTGTTTTTTTTTATTCATGACAGGAAGGAAAGGACTTTTTACTTAAAATAAGAATATGGTTTGGTAATGTACCCTGTTGAGTCCTGTGAAGTGAGAAGTTTCATGATAGGTCCACTTTAAATGTGTAGAATCCATTTTATCCATCACTCTAAAATGCTGAGAAACACAAAGCCACTCCCAAATGTTTTTGTCTTTTCTTCTGCTTTACACCCTCATTCCTCTTCTAATAACCCTTGCCTAGCCCCACTTCCCCCTAGTTATTGAACACGCATTCACCCTCATCCTTGTCAAACATGGAAAATACAATAGAGAATGGTGATTTTATTTTTATTGATATTGTGATTACCGTATTTTCCGGCGTATAAGGCGACTGGGTGTATAAGACGACCCCCTCATTTTTCCAGTTAAAACATAGGTTTTGGGCTATACTCACTGTATAAGACTACCCCCCTTCTGAGGCAACACCATTTAAAAACATCAGATTTTTTAATTGAAATGGTTATGACTTACCGGTACTTAAAATCCTTCAAAATCCTCATGTTCATCCTCTGACATCATAAGTTTATGAATGACATCTTGTGATACATTGTAAGACAGTCATCATATGGATCAAATTCCAAATCAGATGGTTACTGCTGGATGTGCGGTAATACGGTAGCTTCGGCTACATACAGTATATATACAGCCCGCTGGATGTGCAGTAATGTACATACAGTATACCGCGCTGAGCCAAGCTGGCTCAAAACAAATGTCCCTATGACAGATTAATCTGTCAGCCCGCTGGATGTGCGGTATATAAAGTATACTGAGCCAAGCTGTTTCAAAACATACCGGTACATCCCTACGGTAATCAGCCCCGCTGGATGCGTGTATGTACAGTAGCTGAGGCTACATACAGTATACGCTGGGCCAATCACAGTGAGCAATGTATTCTACTAATGAATACAAAGCCTGCTCGGATTGGCTGAGGTTGCGACATCATCAGCCCACCTCTCTGACTCAGCCAATCCGAGCAGGCTTTGTATTCATTAGTAGAATACATCGCTGGCCGTGATTGGCCCAGTGTATACCGTATGTAGCCGCAGCTACCATACATACACGCATCCAGCGGGCTGATTACAGTAGGGAGGTACCGGTACGGGCTGACAGATTAATCTTTCACAGGGACATTTGTTTTGAGCCAGCTTGGCTCAGCACAGTATATTGTATGTACATTACTGCACATCCAGCCAGCTTGACCCAAACAAACTCAAGGTTCACATTTTATATCCCGCGTATAAGACGACACCCCATTTTTGGGGTATATTTTTAAGTATAAAAAGTAGTCTTATACGCCAGAAAATACTGTATTTGTTTTATTACACAGAGAATGTAATTACATAACCCAACTTAGGCCAATGCCCCTATTTCACATGAGGCCAATAATATGGCAACAGGGATCATATGCATGGAAGTTTATTAGGACGACCAACAAGATTATAGTCTATTCCTCCTCATTACGCTCTGTAACTCTTAATTGTTAATCAGTCAAACATTGCACCCTAGCATTAGTATGTTCAGGAACTGAACAGGATTTAAAGCATAACTCCACAATATAGCAAATGAAAAACGACAGAGTATATACTATTGCTACACAAGCCATATTGAAATGTAATGTTATTAAACATTACCTTTCCATTTTAATCTGTTGTCACTGTACTTTTCTGTAAAACCCAATGCAATGTGGCAAACTTGGTGTACAGAAAGTCTCCAGAAATTAATTTTCTGTTTGTGTGATTGGCGCACTGCTTTTTTTCCAGAAGTCTGCACCAAGACACAAGTCTGAATATAGGCATCATCTGCAATAGAAATGTCATTTTTGATGAGATACTCCCCAAGAGTTAAATACTTCTAAAGGGATCCAGACCCTGCCGCTTTTCTCATTAAAGCACTGAGAGTGCATCAGCTGATGACAATGATTCAGACCTTCCCATTCATAATCAGTATCCAAAGGACATTTTCAAACAAACAGCTATTTGTTCAGAGCAGGAACAGGTAGGAATCTGCAATAAAGTGCTAAATTCCTTGGAATGCCCATTGATCACCCAGGAGGGGTGTCACGCTTACCCCTAACACAGGTAGTCATGCACTATAGTGTATGAAAACAAATCTTACCCAAGCTCAACTGCTCTATTCACCACATGGGGACAGGAGACCAGTGCACTGGCTGAGGCGTCTGCTCCTGACAGCAAATATCCACAACACAAGTAGCCAGCAACTCAGAAAGCTTCTTCATGGAAATCTTTATTGGTTACATAAGTACAGGATCCATAAAGCTGATGTGTTTCAGCTTCACAAAGCCATATTCATAGCAAACAAAGTATCAATAAAACTCAACATATATAGTGTAAAAAATACTACCCACAAAGCTCTAACATGGGAGTGTATCAATTAAAAGCAATTAGGATAATTGCTGACACTTGAAGAGGAAACCAAGCAGAAAAAAAGCAGAAAAAAGTAATAGAGAACTGGAGATAAGCAACCTATAAGCAGACCCGGACTGGCCATAGGGCACAACGGGCATTTTCCCGTGGGCCAGGGCTGCCTGAATAGGAGGGGCAGCCAAGTGGCACATAGAGGAACCGGACCGTGCATTTCTCGGTTCCTCTATGTGGTGCCCAGTCGCCCCTCCTATCCATCTCCTGTATGCCCTGAATAAACATTCTTACATACAATAATTATACACAGGTTGCATTATACAGGTGGAGCTCAGTGAATTATTAAAGAAAAGATTCACATCCATTCTACTATTTAAACCATATGGAGACCTAGTCTGAAGCATATGGATCCACCACACCGCCTGTTGGAGCAAGATGCGATGTGTGTAACCTCCTCTCTCAGGTTTCTTGATCTGTTCAATACCAAAAAAAAAAATGAATTAAGGTTGCCCTGATGCAACCTCCCTAAAGTGTCTAGATACATTAAATATGTTTTTAAATATCTTCAACAGGAATTGAGACAGCAGTAAAATACTGGCATAGGTTCCAAGCTTTCTTATACTGTGCAAAATATTTGTCTGGAGTTATACTGACTTAACCAAGAATGAGTGAGCAGATAAGGTCTTATGACATTCCTGACCTCTATACTAATTCTGGGTTATAGACTTAGATTGTTCCCTTTCTTCCAACCTCTAATGGATTTAGTGGTAAATCTAAACCATCATTTCACTCACATTTTTTATTTAACTTGTATTTAGAAAAGATGGTGTATTGGAAACCTGTTTGCATTCTAAACCTCTAAATCAGAATATGTTTACAGGTATCATTAGCTGTCACTATGATTCATGAAGGGGCAAGTGTATAGAACATGGAGGAAAAGTTCCAAGGATGGGGCTTTCCTTTGGGGAGCTGAGATGTTAAAAGAAATATATGATGACACTTTGATTAATGAGACAATCAAAAATGTTTTAAAGTATGGAAAATCGATTGTAATCCAAAATGTGTAGAAAATAAGAATATTACCAGAATTAGATGTAAATATACAGTGAAGGAAATAAGTATTTGATCCCCTGCTGATTTTGCATGTTTGCCCACTCACAAAGAAATGATCAGTCTAAAAATCGAATGGTAGGTGTATTGTAACACTGAGAGACAGAATAGCAACAAAAAATTCAAAAGAAATGCATGTCTAACAAATGATGCACTGATTTGCATGTTCATGAGGGAAATAAGTATTTGATCCCCTTCACAAAACATGACTTAGTACTTGGTGGCAAATCCCTTGTTGGCAATCACAGAGGTCAGACGTTTCCTGTAGGTTTGCACACATCTCAGGAGGGATTATGGCCCACTCCTCTTGGCAGATCCTCACCAAGTCATTGACGTTTGGTGGGTGACATTTGACAACTTAAACTTTTAGCTCAGACCCCAGCCCTTCTCACCGAACTCGTGACCGAAGGACTAGCCAATCTAAAACCGCACTGTCACGTGCGTAACAATGCCACACTCAGCTGCACCCTGCACAATGATTTCCAGCTAATTGGACCACAATCAATGCACCGGCAGCCTGAATGCGATTGATACTGGGTCAGGTTAATTACGCAATTGACCCTTCACACTGCCACCACCTCCTTTTTGTACAGAGAAGGAGGAAACTCTGCCATATCAGTTATAACACTATAATGGTTGAGGTAATCATCTGTATAACACGGTTATACAGACGGTCAATGTTAGCAACCGCCTGGCGGTACCTCTAGCAGCCCACAGGACAGGATTCCCCAGAGCGCGGAGTCTAAGCCCCAGCCTGCTTGTTCACCAGGGCCCCTGATGGTGGGGATGGACTTGGAGCAGACTGGAACCAGGTTGCGGCCCCTGATTACACCCGTCTGCGGTAGAGGAATCTGCCAGGGGTCTGTGCAGGTGGAGAGCCTGACGTGAAGAAGCAGTGTTAGGGATCCGGGTAAGACCAGAAATGTGTGGACTGACACAGGGAAGTAGCAGGCTTCAGGAACACAGGCGTAGTCAGGCTGCAGAGGTGGAATAGTCAGGCAGGCCGTAAGGTACTGTCAGGTGCCGCCTGGCAGTGTCTCTAGCAGCCCGCAGCACGGATTTCCTCAGGGCGCGGGGTCTAAGTCCCAGCCTGCTATTCACCAGGGCCCCTGATGGTGGGGATGGACTTGGTGCAGACTGGAACCAGGTCGCGACCCCTGAGTGTGTCCGGCTGTGGTAGAGAGTACTGGCAAGGGAGTGCAGGAACGGAGTCTGATGGGAAGAGGCAGGCAGATTTACTAAAGGTGATCTGTGCGGGATGGATGGATCGTCGGGTGAAGTAAGTGTAGTCAGACAGGCCGGGTCGGTATCGTGCGGGCAGCGTGGTACAGGAGGAGCAAGCAGAGAATGGTCGGGGTCACAAGCCAGGTTCAGCAGGTAGCGGGCAGCGTGGTACCGAGGATCAGGCA